GAGTAACTTCTGTATGTCCACCTATCAGAAATATTAGGGATTGGTTAAAATGAGGATGTCTGCACACAGTATGTATAACTTACGGTACATGAACACCACACTTGCAATCATATGGAAACTTTATTTCTAAAGGTACAAAATAATTCAGCAGGGATGTAGATAATGGACGGGAGCTGGAGAAAATATCCAGCTGTCAACATGATTTTTCTGGCTGATAAAAACACTGCAGTCTTTAAAAAGGCAACCATAATATTTTTCTTCTCATATTGCCCACCCATCAAATGCCATTTCCCTTCTATTCTAAATTTAAGCTACATCCCTGATGATACCATTTATTGGTGAAAGCTTGGATTCCAGGTTTATTTTTTAATCAGCAGTCATTTGAACAATATTTAATTATTATTAACGACAATGTTCATAGAAAAAGATGGTCACATCACCTCTGTTTCTTTAATGCACTGCTCAAGATGCTGACAGACAGTGATAGGAACACAGTACTCTTTCTGGTGTCTCTTGATGTCATCAATGCAATCTAACTGAGCTAAAATCTGTAGAATTACAAAATTAATCAAAACTACAAAAAATATATTTTCATAGGTCTCTGAATTAGATTAAGATGAAAATTACCAGTATTGAAGGGATGATAATGTATTCAACAAACAACAGTTACAGTGTATCTTGGCCTTTAACAAGACTAATACTACTTTCAAGGTCCATTAAGTAGGAAAGGTATAATCAGGGACAACTAGCTTCCAATGTTGTTTAGTGACGTTTTTTTTGGTGGATTTGTCCAATGTTGAGACCAAATGAAAGAAAGAGGGAAAAGGAAGTCGAGAACAGCATCCAATAATTAGAGCAAAGTTTACGCAGGAGGCCTGTTCGCAGAATACCTCTTTCAGTTCTAGAAAGTGTCTGAATACAGTGGCCTCTACCACAACTTGTTAAATGCAAACTTATATATTCAGAATTGAACACATGATATACTGTATTTATATGGTCAAACCTGTGCATGTAACTCTTCCACTTGCTCTTCTAAGTCCTTTGGAACTTCTTCAATGTGAACAGATACTTTTGCTTGAGACTCAGCTGTTAAGAAAACAAAATATTGCCACAAAATGCATGTGTTGCTTTGCCCAAAGGGTCTATTAGTATCAGAGTTCAATCAAAGTTGTTGTATCAGCAACAGCACCTTCAACATTTTTACATCATACTTTTAATAGAAGACTTGAATAAGGAAAAAGGCAACATTTCATAAATTTGTGAGTTTCTTACCAACTTTGACATTGATGTCTGACTCTTCTGAAGCTTTCAACTCTTCATCTCGAAGGACTGCCGTCAATCTGTTACCAAATGTGAGAGAACACTATGTTTTACTAAATTTTAGGGTAATTAATGAGTCAATATTCCTCCAGAAATGGCTTGTTTTTATGGGATATAAGCACTGTACATGAGACTGTATTTCAAGCCTTCAACTCTTTATCTCAAAGGACACATAAATCAGCGACTCAGTCAATCTGTTACCAATAATGTAAGAGGACACTATGTTTTACTAAATTTTGTGGTGAGTCATTACACCAGAAATATATTTTTTTATGGACATCTAATTACCAATGTACATGAGAATGTATGAAAGTTCTGATACACAAAATATAGGTGTAATTAATAATATTAAAAAGGGGCTGTATAAGTCAAGGCTGTATGTACATGCATCATGTCTAGTTCATTTTAATATTAAATAAAATATATTGTCAAAATGCTTTTTCATGCAATTATGGAAGTTAACCTTTAGGAAGGAATTTACTTGTGAATGATAAAATCACAGCTTCTTGTCACGATAAGGCTGCAGACAATAAACAATCTTTGTCAACAAACATGCCTGCCAAACAGTACAACTGTATTATATCAACTTGTTGCTAGCAAACAACAAATTAAATGAACTACCCTACAATCCACCCTATTATCTTTCTCAAGTTTTAATCCATCTGTGCACGTGCCTTTTTTGTATTAAGTATAAAATACCTTGCATTTTCCTCTAGGAGAAGCCTTGCCTCTTTTTCTAAGTTTTCAACTCTTTTTTCCTCCTCTTTCAGTTTATCTGAGGTGGAGGGATTTTCGGAAAGGCTGTCTATATGATGATATAGTACTTTATGCTGTGACGGTTTTTGTGTGTCCAACAAATGTGACATGTAGCTGTCATACTCATCCTGGAGAGAAATTCCAATAATTGGTTGGTTTTCTTTTGACAAAAGAATAGTGAACATGCAGTTACGTGAAAATGTCAGAGGTCAAAATTTAAAAAATATCAACTATGAATTAAATTTTGACTTGCAACATAAATTATGTAAATGCATGAAGGTATAACGTTATAGTTCCTTTTGAATAGAAAGAAGCTCATGCACATGAAAGGCTTCCAAACTTAATAGTCACATGCATGTACACATCTGACTATACAATTTAGTTTGATACATTTTAGCATAACAAACAGTTTATTGAACCACAAAGGGAAAAGGAACATAAATTAAAATAGTCCACAAATAAAAAGTAGGAAAATTCAATAATCACTTTTAATGTAACTGTTTTCTAATCTCATCCAACAATGGCTCAGCAGCAGNACAGTACAACTGTATTATATCAACTTGTTGCTAGCAAATAACAAATTAAATGAACTACCCTACAATCCACCCTATTATCTTTCTCAAGTTTTAATCCATCTGTGCACGTCCCTTTTTTGTATTAAGTATAAAATACCTTGCATTTTCCTCTAGGAGAAGCCTTGCCTCTTTTTCTAAGTTTTCAACTCTTTTTTCCTCCTCTTTCAGTTTATCTGAGGTGGAGGGATTTTCGGAAAGGCTGTCTATATGATGATATAGTACTTTATGCTGTGACGGTTTTTGTGTGTCCAACAAATGTGACATGTAGCTGTCATACTCATCCTGGAGAGAAATTCCAATAATTGGTTGGTTTTCTTTTGACAAAGGAATAGTGAACATGCAGTTACATGAAAATGTCAGAGGTCAAAATTTAAAAAATATCAACTATGAATTAAATTTTGACCTGCAACATAAATTATATAAATGCATGAAGGTAACGTTAGTTCCTTTTGAATAGAAAGAAGCTCATGCACATGAAAGGCTTCCAAACTTAATAGTTACATGCATGTACACATCTGACTATACAATTTAGTTTGATACATTTTAGCATAACAAACAGTTTATTGAACCACAAAGGGAAAAGGAACATAAATTAAAATAGTCCACAAATAAAAAGTAGGAAAATTCAATAATCACTTTTAATGTAACTGTTTTCTAATCTCATCCAACAATGGCTCAGCAGCAGCTGTTTCTTAATTCATGTGTCAAATAAAATGTAGGCAGTATTTTTGGATGACTTAATAAGTTTTATCCCATTCCAATCTATCATCACTTCTAATCATCACTTCAAGATAAAACTAGCACATGTTTGGTTGTACTCACTTTAATCTTCCTTAAAAGAGGTCCAAATGTACTTGACTCTGCAATAATCTCATCAAAACACCTGTTATATAACTGAAGTCTGTGAAAATTTGGTCCTCTGTGACTTGATGTTTCTAGGGCGGCTAATTGCTATATATAGGTAATGATGAAAAAAAATGTCTGGACATCAATTTGCTAAATATTTAAGTGAGTTTATGAAGGTCCATTATTTCAATGACATATCAGGGAATACTGGCCATAGCAGGCAGCACATCAAACTGATGTTGACCTTCCTGGGTATTCTCTACTTGTCCCTGGGTTCCAGGAGAAGTAGGGATCGTAAAGGCATACGGGAAGCAGGATACATAATATGTCTCTTGCAAGCACATGTACAAGCTAACAAAAGAAAGTACATCTGTACAAGAGTTAGAGTATAACGAGGAACATGGCCTAAGGGCCAGTAGTGTTTATAATTATACAATTAAGCTAGTATGTAACCATGAAGAGTGTGAGAATTTTTTTTACATTTTACACGTCAAATTTGATTTCAGGTTAATTTTGATTTAACCTAGGTTGATGTCAATAATTGTTTAAATTCTTTCCAATAAAATTATTTCCAATGTCTCCTAGCCCTAGAAAACCAACAAATTAAGAATCAACCTACCTAGGTTAAAAATTTTTAACCTGAACTTAAATTTGACAGGTCTGATAAAAAAACTATGTAAATGTGTATGATCAAAGTTGTAAGGCGTGGTTACTGAGGGTAATGATAGAAATAAAGAACCAATGGGGTAGTAATAATAATTAATGTTGAAAATTATGTGAACTATTACACGCTTTAATACAGTGTAGTTGCTTCTTTATTCAACAGGTCAGACCAAACCAATTAGATTGAAAATTGTTTTACTTTGATTCATGTTTTCATTAAACAGTATATGGACTTCTTAGAACTAATTAATTTTTTTAAACTATTTTTATAGTTTCTCAAACCTCATTCATCAAAAGAGGTTTTTTATGCTGGGGTTTACCATGTAAAGTTACACAAAGCTGGCTAAAATACCTTTGCAAGCTTGTGTTCCAAGTTTCGTGCATTTTTTTCTCCTGTTAATACTCCTTTGTCATGTGCATCTCCCAAGTTCATCACCTCATCACCAAACTTCCGAAAGCTGGTGAACTGCTCTGTTTTGGTCGGGTAACTTAGGTAAGTCTCAACAAATGCTTGTCGAGGAAGAAAATCATCCACCTTGGACTTCTCCCGAGAAGTAAAGGCTAATTGAATTTTGAAAAAAAAGAACTCAGTGTCAAATAAAGTAATCGTTTAACAACCAAACTAACAATAAAAGCCAAATTTTGGAACGTAAAATACTATAAACATTTACTCATATAATTAGTATCACACACAAATCACGGTGCCAACCACTCCTCCATATTAATATGAACTTTTTTCCAGTTACAATTTACATAATTCATATTATGCGCTTTAGAAAATATCCATTTTCCTTTATTTGTTTATTTATTTTTTGTTATTGTAACATACAATATTACATACCTACGATATTACCTTTTAGAGTATAGTATATTTTTATTTCAATATTTTGGTAAATTTTTCTTTGAACCTTTTTTTTTCTGCATTGTGCATAATAACTGTGTCAGCTTTAAATTTTTCTCTTGCTGTTGAAAATATAATAATTATGTATATTTTGCCACTATTTTGGTAGTTGGCACAGCTAAAAAAAAANACAGCTTCTTACTATTCACTATTGGACTACCAATATGAAAGTCTTTTATAAACAATTAAATTGTAGAGGTCAAAATTAATTTCAGGTTTAAATTATTCCACCTAAGTAAGTTTTCGAGAATAAATTCCTGACACCAAAGGCCCCACATTTTTTTAGGCCTCACTTTCAATATCTTTAACCCCCCCCCCCTCACACAACAGCAAAATTTAAATGACTACCCCCCCCGCCCCCAAGAGAAATGTCAGATGTTATGTGACTCCAGCTGCCTTTATATCAGTGCAAATAATATATTATTATTATTATTATTTAAACAATGTAGGGAACATACATTGATTTAGTAAAAAATATATTTTTCTTTGGCCCTTGGCCTCACTCTTTTCCAGATCCAGTGTTTGAAGCAGTACTGGGCATAGTATTGTCACTAATTTCATTGTCATTTGATTCACTGTCAAGATCCGTTGAATCATCACCACTGTCAACCTCTGCTGAGAAAACTTTCATCCCCTCCCCCCCAGAGTCCAAAATTGTAACCAGCTGGTCACCAATGCAACTGAAAATTGAGTGCTGACGAACAGAATTTTAAGGCCAGTCGCCACGCAGCAGGCTACTTAACTCTCAGTGCCTTGCCAATGTTTGAACTATGGCCCTCAAGGAATTAATTTTGTTTTAAATGGAAAAATATCAGAAGATTTTCAGAAGAAACTTACCCTTGTCTTGTCAAAGTTTTTAATCTCCATAGAAAACAATTGAGGGTAAGAAAATACAAAAAGCATTGACTGTCATTACAGGCCAATGAAATCATAGAAGGTGGGGGACTGGTATGAACAGTTTTGTTCCGAAGTGACCTGGTATGATTAACATGGCAGTTAGCTTTGCGCCGCATTATGTTTCTACTTGGAAAACAGGGATGTCACTACGATTTCAAGTTGCTGGGTACATACAACAAGTAGGTGGGAAATCAAACAGCTAGCTAGGGATTTCTTTTGGTTCTATTCTTCTTTTATTTTCCTATAAAAATAGTCTGGGGCCACGTTCATGATAGCCGGGGGAAATCCTGCGCCCTGCTCTTAATGACAGCCCCTGGAAAGGCAGTCGCATTATAATGTTCAGTCTTCAAACTTAGAGCCGGCTATCTTTTAATGAAAAATCCTTTTCAACTAGGACGCATAAGCTACACAATCATATAATGCTTTCTTGTACATGGAAGTCTGACTTCTGTGTTTGTTTACAAGTATTCAAGATAATGTTTTGAGTGTGTTACCAAAAATTTTACGGGCACTTACTGGCAAATGGAATTTTCCATCTGGTGACTAAAAAAAATTTTCAGCCACCACTTGGCACCTGGATAAAAGAGTTAATTTTGGACCCTGCCTCCACTAACTATCTTGAAACTCTAATGACCCCCCCTCCCAAGGAAGCACCTCACTCCTGCCCCCTTCCATGATTTAGATAAATAATGAACGCTCCCCTAATAATATTATCAATTTGTGAAATCAATAGTGATAATAATAATAATAATAATAATAATAATAATAATAATAATAATAATAATAGCAATAATAATGTTATCATGTATGATCTATTTCCACCTTTGGTTTTAGTGACTGCAGGTATCATAATTTCAGGTAGCCGTAACTCCTCTACAAGAACTTTGTCTCCAGTTAGCTTGTCTGATCTACTTGACTCTTCATTTGCCATAGAAGTTTCTTTAAAACCTTCTGAATCTGTTCTTAATTCATTTTCTGTTGGGATACAAATGTTGAATATTGTTTCATTTTAAAACATAAAATGTCATTGCTTTATAGTGGAATAATTATGGTAATTTTATACCACGAATTTAAAAGAATAACATGTCACGCTAGGATAAATCTCAAGCAGAATAAGCAATTTTTGAAATGATATACTGCCAGCATGCAGAGGCATTTTGGGGCATAATTTGAGCTGAATAATGGAATAATAGAAAGGTTGGTTTAGGAGCTCTGTCAGTGGAGGAGTAAAGCACAAAAAATCTGGTTTTATCAACTGGGTATAAGTCAATTTACCCCCATGAAAAATTGAAAATAAACTGATACTACTACTAATAATAATAAACAAAAAACAAGGTAACTTTTTTAGTGCCAGTCCTTTGCCTGGCTGGGCGTCCTGACGAAGGTCTACAGCCCTGCATCAGCTTTTCAATCTTTTTATGGTGGTAAATAAATATTGACTTTACCAAATTTTAGTGGAAGTACAGGGTGCAAAGAAAGTCATTTTTACAGCTTGCCATCTGGGCAAGCTGAAGCTAGCATTTACTCGCCCAAATGTCATTTTAACTAGCCCCCAAAATTTTGGATGAGCAGAATTGATTTCACAGTTCTTTTAATTTTATTCCATCGGGCAAGTTAAGAACACAATTCACTGGCCCAATAGCAAAATCCACAAACCCCAGCCTATCGGACACAACTTTCTTTGCACGCTGAAGTAAGAGGCATTCCCCAGTGCCTAACAATGAAAAAAATATTAATTATCCATAATGAATGTACAGTGAACAAAAACAGCTTCAGAATTTCCGTGGAATTCCTTAACGCATCGCCCATTGCTTTAACCACACTCTTTCTTTTTATGTGTTGTTGTTGTTGTTGTTGTTGTTGCTGTTTTTTTCGGAAAAAAAGAGGATATATTACCATAAAGTGAGGTATAGGGGAATGCCGAGTTTCTACCAAAAAAGAGTCCACCATTAAAAACATCTTCTAGTCAAACAATTCACTATACAATATATATATGTATGCGCAATGTATATTTGATAAACAACTTACTGAGTGCAAGATTCCTTACTGGTCCCAGACTGAATTCGACAAGGCGATCTGCCATGGTCTTGTGGCGGAGTTCCGTTGCACTCAATTCACCTTTTCTGACTGGGAGATCAATAAGACGGCAGGGTGGCTTCAAACTACAATAAACACGGAAAATATAAATACGAAACATGGCTCGCAGATTATACCTGAGACTAAGTGGAAAAAACACAGCTACACACACTGAACACACTTCAAAAGGCCGCGATTACTACATATAAGTAATAAACTCATTTCTTGTTAATCCAGTATGCGAAGCCCTACGCACCGAATTGGCGGTTTATCCGTCGTTTCCCATCTTTTATGACGTGCTTCTGGAGGTTTTAACAGTTTGCTTGAATTAAGGTGACCACTTGTGTAGGTCTTAATGTCCTTTCTATGCACTTCATAGACAGTTTCAAGCAAATTTTTCAAAGACGATGACTCTCGTTTGTTATCCGCCATGTTTGTTGTCGTTTGTCTCCTTGGAGGAAAACTCTCCCCAGATCCCAGGCTTGGTTACACAATTAGTTAAGATGGCGACTGGAAAGTTGCCGCAAACGGCATTGAGTTTGAAGCAGGTATAAATGTTCTTGTTTATATGTAATGGCCCTTTCTCTGATTTGCAGATAGCTAGATAACAAAATTTTTGTCCTAATAGTTCTTTCTTAGACGACAAGTTTTGACCCTCTACAGACAAATTCTTCGAACTTTGCGAGAAGTGCCGGATGAAGATCACAAGAAAGAGCTTGCAGATTGGGCAAGAGCAGAATTCAAGAAAAACAAACATGAAAAAGATGAGGTATTGTAAACTCAGATTAACGCTTTCTAATACTTTAAATATGTGTTTGAAGTGTTTTTATAAATTTTTTACAGGCCCTTTTGGGAACTAAAATTTTTCAATTGTGGGACAAAAAAAAAATTTCACCCCCCCCTTGGCCCCCAAAAAAAAAGGGGGATTTCGGCCCCCCCCCCCCCCAAAATTCTTTAAACCCTCTAGACCCCCCCCCCCCCCCCTTAAGGAAGCACCTCACCCCTGCCCCCTCCCATGATTTAGATAAATAATGAACACTTCCCTAAAAATAATTATTATCAATTTGTGAAATCAATAGTGATAATAATAATAATAATAATAATAATACCAATAATTATGTATATGTTGTAGTTAATTTTTTATTTCAGGTAATTTTTATTTTTCCTTTGTTTCAACTTCGTTAGCATACATTATCATACCCAAAAACAAAGGAAAAACAAAAATTACCTGAGATAAAAAATTAACTACAACATATACATGTAATGAAAAATATGTTATTTGTTTCCACCTTTGGTTTTAGTGACCGCAGGTATCATAATTTCAGGTAGCCGTAACTCCTCTACAAGAACCTTGTCTCCAGTTAGCTTGTCTGATCTACTTGACTCTTCATTTGCCATTATAGAAGTTTCTTTAAAACCTTCTGAATCTGTTCTTAATTCATTTCCTGTTGAGAAACAAATGATGAATATTCTTTCATTTTAAAACATAAAATGTCATTGCTTCATAGCGGAATAATTATGGTAATTTTATACCACGAATTTAAAAGAATAACATGTCACGTTACGATAAATCTTAAGCAGAATAAGCAATTTTTGAAATGATATACTGCCAGCATACAGATCCATTTGGGGGCATAATTTGAGCTGAATAATGGAATAATAGAAAGGTTGGTTTAGGTGCTCTGTCAGTGGAGGAGTAAAGCACAAAAAATCTGGTTTTATCAACTGGATATAAGTCAATTTACCCCCATGAAAAATTAATACTACTACTAATAATAATATTAATAAACAAAAAAACAAGGTAACTTTTTTAGTGCCAGTCCTTTGCCTGGCTGGGCATCCTGATGAAGGTCTACAGCCCTGTAGCACTCACAACATCAGCTTTTCAATCTTTTTATGGTGGTAAATTGACTTTACCAAATTTTAGTGGAAGTACAGGGTGCAAAGAAAGTCTTTTTTACAGCTTGCCATCTGGGCAAGCTGAAGCTAGCATTTACTAGCCCAAACATCATTTCAACTAGCCCCCAGAATTGTGGATGAGCAGAATTGATTTCACAGTTCTTTTAATTTTATTCCATTGGGCAAGTTAAGAACACAATTCACTGGCCCGATAGCAAAATCCACTAGCCCCGGGCTATCGCACACAACTTTCTTTGCACGCTGAAGTAAGAGGCATTCTCCAGTGCCTAACAATGAAAAAAATATTAATTATCCATGATGAATATACGGTGAACAAAAACAGCTTCAGAATTTCCGTGGAAATCCTTAACGCATCGCCCATTGCTTTAACCACACTCTTTCTTTTTATGTGTTGTTGTTGTTGTTTTTTTCTTTTTCGTAAAGAAAAGAGGATATTGCCATAAAGTGAGGTACAGTGTATAGGGGAATGCCGAATTTCTACCAAAAAAGTGTCCACCATCATTAAAAACATCTTCTAGTCAAACAGTTCACTATACAATATATATATATAATATGCACAATGTATATTTGATAAACAACTTACTGAGTGCAAGATTCCTTACTGGTCCCAGACTGAATTCGACAAGGCGATCTGCCATGGTCTTGTGGCGGAGTTCTGTTGCACTCAGTTCACCTTTTCTGACTGGGAGATCAGTAAGACGGCAGGGCGACTTCAAACTGCAATAAACACGGAAAATATAAATACGAGAAATGGCTCGCAGATCATACCTGAGACTAAGTGGAAAAAAAAACACAGCTTCACACACTGAACACACTTAAAAAGGCCGTGATTACTACATATAAGTAATAAACTCATTTCTTGTTAATCTTATATGCGAAGCCTGTACGTACCGAATTGGCGGTTTATCCGCCGTTTCCCATCTTTTATGACGTGCTTCTGGAGGTTTTAAAAGTTTGCTTGAATTAAGGTGACCACTTGTGTAGGTCTTAATGTCCTTTCTATGCACTTCATAGACAGTTTCAAGCAAATTTTTCAAAGACGAAGACTCTCGTTTGTTGTCCGCCATGTTTCTTGTCGTTTGTCTCCTTGCAGGAAAACTCGCCCCAGATCCCAGGCTTGGTTACACAATTAGTTAAGATGGCGACTGGAAAGTTGCCGCAAACGGCATTGAATTTGAAGCAGGTATAAATGTTCTTGTTTATATGTAATGGCCCTTTCTCTGATTTGCAGATAGCTAGATAACAAAATTTTTGTCCAAATAGTTCTTTCTTAGACGACAAGTTTTGACCCTCTACAGACAAATTCTCCGAACTTTGCGAGAAGTGCCGGATGAAGATCACAAGAAAGAGCTTGCAGATTGGGCAAGAGCAGAATTCAAGAAAAACAAACATGAAAAAGATGAGGTATTGTAAACTCAGATTAACGCTTTCTAATACTTNGCATTGAGTTTGAAGCAGGTATAAATGTTCTTGTTTATATGTAATGGCCCTTTCTCTGATTTGCAGATAGCTAGATAACAAAATTTTTGTCCTAATAGTTCTTTCTTAGACGACAAGTTTTGACCCTCTACAGACAAATTCTTCGAACTTTGCGAGAAGTGCCGGATGAAGATCACAAGAAAGAGCTTGCAGATTGGGCAAGAGCAGAATTCAAGAAAAACAAACATGAAAAAGATGAGGTATTGTAAACTCAGATTAACGCTTTCTAATACTTATACATGTGGTTTGACCATAGAGTGCACGGCTACTTAAAAGCTATGCCTCAAAAGTGCAGAGATTCTATATCATATGCCAACTTCTGCAATCATTTGGAACCCAATTCCTAACGAATTTCGTCAACTATCCAAAGGAGCTTTTAAAAAAAATTTTCATGACTTTTTGCTCTCGATAATGGAAGCAGAGGACGATTATGTTGAAGTGCCCTTTCTCTTACAAAAAATAGCAAATTCTGCATCCTCGACTCAATGCATTAATAATCGATAGGTTCTGTTAGAAGTAAATTTGATTGTAGTATTATTCTGTAAGACTATATATTTTGTAACTTTAGCTTGTTTTTCTGTAATTCTTATTTATCCACATAGTTTATATAGTTACTTTACATTATTATCTGTTATGACTGCTGTAATCTTTCCTCGCCGCCCGCCTCGTCTAGCTTTTGCTATTTTGTGGGCGGAGATGGCAAAATGATGTATATGAAATAAAGTATAGTGTATGTGTGTTTTATGGAAATTTTTTCTTCTACATTACCCTTGCCCCCAGGCACAAGACTAAGTCACTGACTCATGCTTTCTCGCTTAAGTAATCTATTCTTTTAAAAAAGCATTTCATATTCCATATTTGCTGAAAATGGGCTGTACTGCCCATTGCAGATTATATTGTAGAAGCTGCTTTTTTTAACATCAAATAAGTCACTATTTTTGTCCCCAAAGAATGCATACATATATTATATATATATTTCATATTCTTAGATTGTCATCAAAATGATGCTTTCCCAAGGTCGCCTTACACTGCAAGAAATTTCATCTGCAATAAACCTTGCCAAGTGAACTCCTCAAGCTAAACTTAACTGACAAGGAACAGAAGTGAAATACACTGACAGTGTATGAGCTGTTGAGCTCTTTAGCAATACAATGTGAGGCTCAGATGAGAGTACTTAAAACATCATAGGTGAAAAGATTGTGGCAAAGACAAATTGCAGCCATCTCATCCAAATCACAATTTATTTGCCTGATGCTCTTTTGCCTGGAGTTGATTCACCTGAGGACACACAAGACAGTGAACATAATATTATTATTAGAGATGCTATTTTCAGGGTTGTCATTAAGAGCCGGGGCTGGGGATTTTACCTGGCTACTAAGAGAGGGGCCCCCTGCTACTTTTATTGGAAAATAGAAGAAAAATAGAACCGAAAGAAATCCCTAGCCGTTTGATTCCCTGTCTACTTGTTGTATTTACCCGGGAACTTGAAATCTTAGTGACAACCCTGATTTTATAACACTGTTGTTAATCTTGGTTTCCATTGCTGCATTACTAAGGTAAAAAGGACCAGCAATCTGAATGGCTGTGTTCGCACTTCAGAGTTTAATTGTGATTAAGGCATCTTAAATCACGCTTTAATTAACTCTCAAGCATGTCAGAGGGGTGACCCCAAAAAATGACCTCAGCCAACGAGGATGTAATTGATATCAAAAAGCAGCAGACTTCAAAGATCTAAAGTGTCTCAAAAAGTAGGTTTTATGTTGGGATTTGTCTTGAGGTTGATTGTTGAGCCAATCATTTGCGACGATTATTGTTACTTGGAAATTTTAATGGTCTTAATGGCTTGCAAAGGAGACTGTGCAAAGTTATTTAACTCATCTCTTTCCCGAAGAACATTGAAATTATAGAAGCTTTACAAGAAAATTGAGATGTCTGATCCCTCAGATGGATGATTTCGAGTTGAAAAAAAAAAAAACAGAATGAACCATGCAGTGTTTCCTCATTAATAAAGTGAGTAGTCTTTTATTGCTCTTCGAATCAAGAAAAAGGCCAAAAAGTCAAAGATAATTTTCATTTCTTCAGCCTGCTTCAGTGTAATTTAGTCTCGGAAAGAGAGACCAAAGAACCATCTGTCCATGACCTTTTACTATCTTATCTCATGTTGCAGTCATTGATATGTCACATGCACAACAAGACGCTCGCGAAATCACCATTTCAAAAAGCAGTGCGACCACAGCCAATAATACTAGTGGTCTGTTGTCATAAACTTCTGATTATAAGCCCTGGGCTTTAAAATACAACTTCGTAAAGGGTTTTGGAGAGCTTTATAATAATAATAATAATTAAGACTTATATAGCGCAACTTTCCATGGGACATGATCAAATGTGCTTTACAATAAGATAAAAAGAAAGACTAAAAATGAATAAAATTTACAAGCAAGTAGAAAGATTTAAAAATGAAATAAAATAACAATAAGTGATAAATAATAAAATAAACAGATATGTTTTCACATGGCATTTAAAATTTGACAGAGAGTCAAGGCTGGACATTTCGTTAGGTAGGTTGTTCCAGAGCTTTGGGGCCGCATAACAGAATGCTCTACTACCAAGTATTGGGGGTATCTTGCCACTTGGAACCTCAAGCATAACTTTAGACAGGAGTGGGGGTGGGGGGACTGGGGCGTTTATAACTGAACTAAAAAAAGAGTTTCAAAACAAGCTACATAGCAGTGCTGATAAAAATACTTTTATAAATTGATAGCTTTTTTAAGCTTCAAAACGTCATATTCATTCTTCGTCAAATTCATTTCAATACAAGCTAGAGGGGAGCTTAGAATCAGGGGGCCTTATAACCGGGTGTATTTCTTTGTTTACAGGTAGAGGGGCCTATAAATAAGGATGTAAAAGGTGGGGGGAAGGGGTGGAGCTTCTAATTATAAGTTATGTTATTGGGTTTAGGGTTAGGCTTATTGGCACAAAACTGTTGCTGCCAAGTGCTATGAACCAAAAAAATGGATTTGTCAAGTTTACCAAACAAACAAACAAAAAATGTATCGAAGTGAACAATAACAGATAATATAAGATTAAAGAAAGAAGGTATCAAGAATACCCACTACCCATTTTAACTTCCTAAGTTTAAAAATTTGTAAGTTTCCCGTGTATGCCTGACAAAAATGTTTTTGGCTAAACACAACTAACATTGAGTTTTTTTGTTTTTTTGCTGATATTGCCTCAGTAAGGATAAGTGACTTGCTGGGAGATTAACAAACTGAAGAAGATACTGAACTGAATCAGTTGTGACTTGGTAATAGAAGAGAACAAATATAGATGTGCTAAACAAAGGTCCACAATATTCTCAGCCTAAGGAGAATTTTAATGTCCAGCTATTAAAACTACAAAGTAATTGGCGATTTGCGAATTTTTGAATTTTAGGATATATGGAAAAAGTGCAGCTGCGTTAATTCGTGTTGGAAATCGTAAGTAAAGGTATTGACATTTTTCATTCAAAAAATGAAAAATATATCTTCTGGCTGTCCAGCGTCTCTTCCCCCGATTTTTTTCTGAGGGAGGAGGGACGTCTGTACACAGGCTACTTGCTGTCTTGCTTTCACACGTATATATAAGCCGATTGTTTTGCCTCTTGGGATCCATTTTTTTTAGCCAAGATGCGTCTTACTTTATCGAGTACCATTTATACGAGCGTGTCCGTTTTACATAAGATGAGAACATGCAGCTGCTCGTATCAGTTAGCAAGGCGGCATGTTGCGATCTGTCACCGAGGTAACATTTTAAAGACGCTTTTGTTCAGAATGGGTCTTTGCTACCAACTAAGTTTATTCTTACACAAGCAGATGTGACATTGTTAAGAAGATCGGAAGTTGCCTCATCACTGATAAAAGAAGCATATAAATTGCCGTAGTTGACAAACGGAGAACAAGAAAAACTGTTCGTTTATCGCAAACAATATTTAAGGATGGACCATTAGAAAACTTATGGGGGGTGGGGGGGGGGGCGCAGGCGAAGTACAAAAAAAATATTCGCGCAAGGGAATATTAAATGAAAAAAAATTCATGCATGCCAATTAATCCTAAAAAATATTCTTGCTTTGGCCTAAAAAAAAATTCATACAAGGAATTTGATAACGAAAAATATTCCTGCGGCTCGAAAATTCCCCACCCCTTATTATAGGAAATTAACGCTTCATGAAATTAAGGTATTGGAAATTAACGCGACTTAAATTAACGCAAATTTAATAGAAAACGACTTTCGAATAAAGAAAATTAACGCGAAAGAGGAGAAAAGAGGAGGTAGAATTTCATAATAAAGGAAATTAACGCGATTAAGACACAGTTGGTGGTGACAACTGGAACAAATTTTTTTCAACACTGTAGACGAAGATGAACTCGAAATATTGTAAACCTGCGCCTTAGCTTTTGTGAAAGATTAAAAATAAAGGGTAAATAGAAAGAAAGAAAGCTTGTAGTTAATGTTTTTTAGGTGTCAAGAATGTCTGGACAGGTTCCAAAATTGGGGTTACCCATTCGCCCCTGAACCGCCTGTAACCGCCCGTGTGGATCCACGTCCTTTCTACCCTTTGTGACGTCATCAGTTTTAATGGTCAAGGACAACTTCGTCCGCTAACTTGTGCAGAGTGAAGAGATCTTTCAAACCTCTCAGAATGAGCACAAGTCAGTCAAGAACACCGGAGAAAAAAGCCAAAAGCCATGTGACATTGACCTGAAAATCTCCATGAAAATCTTGTTCCATTGCTCACCTACCTTTCCTTTCACCTAATCCTAAGATCCTAAAAGCTTTCCTAAAAACTCTTCCCACCAAAACGAAGCCTACTAAATGCCCAGCAAGAGAAAAAAAAAATGAGGTAAGAAAAGCGAAAAAAGAGGGGAGGAGAGAAAGCAAAAAGTAAAAGTCAAGATCTCGAAAAATTTCTACGCATGCCCCAACTTCGCCAGGTGATATTTTGCATCTGGATCAGAAGGCCGCGAAATGTACGACCTGTAAACCGGTTTGTGGTAAGTTTTAGCTCTTTATAGCACGACGGTGACCAGAAAACCACTCGACTAGCTTCAAAACGCGTTTTTCAGCAAAATCTCTAGGAGCGAATGGGTCAAAATACTGGAAACTAAGGGCGCGGAAATTAACGCTGCACTTAATTAACGTCCTGGAAATTAACGCTCAACAAAATTAAAGCGACTTGAATTAACGCGAATTTTAACGATACGCGCGTTAATTTCATGGAGCGTTAATATCCTATAATAAGGTAACGCTGAGTAATATTTTCTGCCCCTGCGTCAAAGGTCATTTATGTCCGGTTTTCTTTGGCTTTGCTTAGGGTTTCTTGTCTAAAATTGTGGTAAGTTTTAGCTCTTTATAGCACGACAGTGACCAGAAAACCACTCGACTAGCTTCAAAACGCGTTTTTCGGCAAAATCTCCAGGAGCGAATGGGTCAAAATACTGGAAATTAAGGGCGCGGAAATTAACGCTGCACTTAATTAACGTCCTGGAAATTAACGCTCAACAAAATTAAAGCGACTTGAATTAACGCGAATTTTAACGATTCGCGCGTTAATTTCATGGAGCGTTAATATCCTATAATAAGGTAACGCTGAGTAATATTTTCTGCCCCTGCGTCAAAGGTCATTTATGTCCGGTTTTCTTTGGCTTTGCTTAGGGTTTCTTGTCTAAAACCATTCTTGACGGACTGTTCTTAGCTAGGGCTTGTCTCACTGAAGTCGCATATTTTATCTCTTTCCAAATGTAATAAAACGTGGACGAAAATCGGTTAGATATTTAGGGCCTAACTTATGGAATTCTCTTAAAGATAATATTAGATTATCTCAGGATCTTAGCTCTTTTAAAAACCTAATATTCAAAATTGACTTTGATGGTATGCAGTCAATTTCATATCTTTTATGCTGCTCATTTTTATTTTATTTTAGTGTTAAATATTATTTTTAGGCATTTTGTATTGACTATTTAGCTTTAATAGCTTTAGCTCGCTCAAACTAACACCCGTGTACTACATATAATAAACGAGTTTCAAAAAA